TGGAGGATCATGAGTTCAAAGCCTACTTGGGCTACAGAGTGAGTTCTATCTAATTCAGCTTAAGTAACTTAGTGAGACCCTGTATAAAAAGCAAGGAGAGAGATTATAGTTCAGTGGTACAATCTTGCCCAGAATTTGATCCTCAGCACCACAGAAAACCCAACATCAACAAAACCGACCCAGGGAGCAAACCCAGCCATGTGGGTTGTTCACACAAATTCGGTGGGTTGGGAATTTGGAGAGGGAACATAGAGACACCGTAGTCTTTATATTGTCTGGTGACTTTTATAAAGGCTTGACTGGCAGGACTCCATGGAGAGTAGTGATTGGACTACCAGGGACATTTCCAAAGACAAGATGAACATTCAGAGGCCTTCCCAAAGACAAGATGGACATTCAGAGGCCTTCCCAAAGACAAGATGAACATTCAGAGGCCTTCCCAAAGACAAGATGGACATTCAGAGACCTTCCCAAAGACAAGATGGACATTCAGAGACCTTCCCAAAGACAAGATGGACATTCAGAGGCCTTCCCAAAGACAAGATGGACTTTCAGAGGCCTTTTGGACCTTGTCTCAGAAGTCACCTGCACACACACATTATGTAATTGCAGTGAGTGATGGAGGCCCACTCAGAATCGAAAGAGAAGAAATTGTATTTCAGTTCCTGATGGAGTGTGGCAGCGCAGGGGCGCAGAAGATGGAAGAAGCTCTGCCACCACTTTCAGAAAATGCAGTCTGGCTATAATGGGCTGTATGATATCACAGCCTCAGTATCACCTTCTGGAAGCATGTGTGTAGAATTAAAAAAAAAACACTTGATGTGTCAGAGGCAGAGTCAAGCTAAGTATTAAAACACAATATACTGGTGCTGTATATAAAACAAGGCCAGCAAGATGGCGGTCATTGCTGAAGCAGGGCAGGAGTCTTGGTTGCTTCATAACACTCTGTAATTTGTGTGTGCTTGCCCTTTTCCTACATGGGAAATGAAAGGCTGGTCCTGGCTGCTGATGGATGATGGTCTTTCTCTTCATACCCAGCATGAAGGGTGCTGTGGGTAAGGCCAAGTCCTGCAGCTAGGGTCTCCTTTCCTTCTGGGAGTCTTGGTTCCCTGAAGGCACCTTCCTGTCTTTCACAGCCATGGTGCACCCCTCTTCTGACTGGAGGCCCCCGCCTTGCAGGTCAGCTTCTTAGTCCTTACAGGCAGAGGGAAGAGCCTGCTGGACTGAAGCAGCTGGAGGGAGGAAGGGTTGATGTGGGTACATGGTTTAAAGGTATAGTCCATCACGGTGGGGAAGGGTTGATGTGGGTACATGGTTTAAAGGTACAGTCCGTCACGGTGGGGAAGGGTTGATGTGGGTACATGGTTTAAAGGGACAGTCCGTCACGGTGGGGAAGGGTTGATGTGGGTACATGGTTTAAAGGTACAGTCCGTCGTGGTGGGGAAGGGTTGATGTGGGTACATGGTTTAAAGGGACAGTCCGTCATGGTGGGGAAGGGTTGATGTGGGTACATGGTTTAAAGGGACAGTCCGTCGTGGTGGGGAAGGGTTGATGTGGGTACATGGTTTAAAGGGACAGTACGTCATGGTAGGGAAGGGTTGATGTGGGTACATGGTTTAAAGGGACAGTCCGTCGTGGTGGGGAAGGCATGGACACACAGCAGGAGGTGGCTGGTCTGAGACAAAGTGTGAAGACAGACAGCTGCCAGGAAGTGGGGCTGGGCTATCAAACCTCATGGACCCACTTCCTCCCACGAGGCTCCATCTCCTAGTGGTTCCACAGCTTTCCAAAAGCTGCTCCACCATTCGGGGACCAAGCTCTGAAACCCAGGAGCCTCTAAGGACATTTCATATTCAAACCACAACAGCTGGGCTGTTACGGTCTCCAAGTCGTCATATAGCTCCTTCTTGTTCTTTGCAAGTAACACTCAGGTCCCGCCCTACCCCTCTACCCCCAATCTGCTGGAGCATGAAGTTTTCTCTGTAAGCCTGCTTCTCTCCGCTTTCTCTACTTCATGGATTACTAGGGATTTCTAATCTGATGACCACACCCCATATGATGTACCATTATTATGGACTCAACCTTCCCAAGAGAACCAACTTTCTTTTACTTTTAGAATGGTGGCCATACTCACTCAACCATTTTGATCCAATATTTTGTTTCTGCAAGGCATTACAGTCAAGCATGTATATCCGTATGTGTATATGTGTGGGTGTGTCAGTGTGGACATACGCTGAGTGTGTGGGAGTGCTAGTGGAGGCCTGAAGAAGGTTACTGATCCCCTGGAGCTGGAGTCAAAGGTGGTGCTGGGAACCAAACTCAGGTCCTCTGGAAGAGCAGGAAGAACTCTAACCACTGAGCAATCCCTCCAGCCCACAATGTAGCTCTCATTTTTCACCTGATTTACAAAATACAATGTGATGGCATACATCTTTAATCCCAGCTCTTAGGAGTCAGAGATACTCAGATCTCTGTGAGTTTAAGGCTGGCCTGGTCAACATAGTGAGACTCTTTCTCAAGGGAGACAAAATGTAATTAGAACATATGTACTTCCTGCTGTATTAAAGACTATTTGTTATAATAAAAATTCATTAATGTATGTTATATCTTCTTTTAAATATAAATTTTATTTTATTTTACTTATTTTTGAGACAGAGTTTGATGTAGCACAGTTTGGCCTCAAACTCACTATATAGCCAAGAATGACCTTGAATTTCTGATCCTCCTGCCTCCACCTCCTGAGTGTTGGGGTTCCAGTCATGAGCCACCACATTCATTTTCTCTGTCTGGTGCTAGTGAGCTAACCCAGGGCTCCACTCCGAAAGCACTCTGGCTGAGCTACACTCCAGGCCCTTGTGTCCTGTGTATGGGTGGCCAGTTACAATTTCTAAGCACTCACCTTGAGAGCATTCCCAACTTTTTGTTTCTAAGCGTATTTACTGGGATATTTTGAATTGATTTATTTTATTTATTTGATTTTGTTTCCGTAGGATGATTTCTAAAGTCGGAGTTACAGTGAAAAAGCGTGGTGTATAAAATGATTATTGATGGACGTTGTCAAGTTTATTTGCAAATAATCTCCTCCGAGTCACAGCTTCCTTTTCCATCCCACAATGTCAGCGTGTCCATTTCGTCTTTCCTCTAATTACTGGGGCTGCTTTCATCTCCACTGACTTGAAAACAGCTAATGATACCCCATTCTCTCATGCCCCCCTATTATTTTTTCCAAATGAACTTCCTTCAGAATCACTGGATAAGGTCGGTGGTGGTGAAAAAAAAGAAAACTTGTAAGTCCCTGAAACCCTTTAAAATTCTTCCTGCATTAAAAAAAAAAAGTCCTAGAGACCTAAGTTTTATGTATGTAATTAGTGAGCAAGCTTATTTAAGAAATAAAATGAGTCAGCAGTATATGAAGGAGTTAAAAATCAGCTTCCTTTTATGTTCCTGGTGTTCTCCGCCGTCCAAAGGCAAAGCACTTAGCGCATTGATACAGCTCTCGAAGAACCTTTAGGAATTTACACTTATGTGGTCTAGTAACAAGGTGTGTAACCTGTCAGCTTGATGGTTCTGTTTTCCCCTCTATTTTATCTCATCATGCCACTCTTCCTGTGTCTCGAATTAAACCATGCCTGTGTCCTTCCCTTATAAGAAGATTGAAGCCTTGGACGGTTTTTTTGTTTTTTTTTTTTTCCTGCCCCATCCTCTTCATTTTCTACCAGATGGAAATAATTCCATCCCAGGTTGGTTCATTAGTCTTTACCGAGTGGCTCATATTTGAAATTAACTGTTTATTTAGCTTTTAACTAATAATCAATTATTAATTAATTACTTTGTTTTCCAGGATTTTGTGTCTGCCACACTTTTCTTTTCTTTCATTTTGCTGAACCGCATTCTCAAGTAACGCTCTCAGGAAGGACGAGGATGGCAGCTTGACTCCATTCTTCCCTGGTCCAGAGAGCATCCTATGCTCACGTTCAGGTTCTGCTAGTGTCTTTGTGCTGCTATGATGGGACACTCGAGGCCGGGTATTTTATGAGGAAAAGGGGTTTATTTGGCTTAAGGTTCTGGTGGTTGGAAGGTCCAAAGAACATGGCGTTGGCATCCCATTGAGGACTTCCTGGAGGGGAAGTATAAGGAAGCAGCTACCTGCACAAGAGATAGGAACATGCAAAAGCAAGAAAGGAGACCAGGGAGGGGCCAGGAGACTAATCCACTCCTCCCAGACTGGACCCACTCCCTGAGATGACAGTCACCATTGGTGAGGGTGGAGCCCTGTGACCTAATTACCTTTCAGTAGTCCCCATCTCTTAACATTTCCACCAGCTTGACTCTGCTGCACAGGACTAAACTTCCAGAGTGAACTTCTGGAGGATAAAGCAAACCTAGGTTATGGTCCTTAGGTTTATGACTTGAAGTTTAAAATCCTATTATCTCAAGCGGGGTGTGGTGGTGCATGCTTTTAATCCCAGCACTCAGGAGGCAGAAGTAGGCTGACCTCTGAGTTCAAGGCCAGCTAGGACTACACAGAGAATCCCTGTCTTCAAACAAACAAACAAACAAACAAACACAAACAAACAAAAATAACCCACCACCAGCAAAAACTAACTAACCAGAAACATTTTATCTCAAAATATTTTTAAAAGTTTTTTTAATGTGTATGCGTGATAATCTGTTGTATGTGTATGTACCACATGTGTGCAGAACCCATGGGGGCCAGAGGAGGGCATCAGATCCTCTGAAACTGGAGTTACGGATGGTTGTGAGCCTCCATATAGATGTTAGGGACTGAACCCAGGTCCTCTAAAAGAGTCACAAATGCTCTCAACTATATGAACACACACACACACACACACACACACACACACACACACACACACACACACACAATTACCAATCAGTGACAGACAGATTTCCTCAGGCACCTGCAGCTCTTCCTTGCCCGTTTCCATGAGAAGTGTGCGCTCTATGACCAAGCTTCCTTCCCTCTTTCTCTCCTCCAGGGGCTTTACTGGCCACATCCCAGGGACCAGCAGAGGCTCAGGAACTAGGGATAAACACCAAGGCCACTGCAGTCTCTGCCTGCAAGGAGCTTAACATTAAAGTGGGACTGAGAGGTGAGACTGTAAACAAACGCATGAAAGAAAAGCATGAAGACACCAAAGGAACTCACTGCTGTGACAGAGAACAAGAAATCGGGTGTGCGGCTCCTGAAGATCAGGTGACGCTTAGAAACGCCTGGAGCATCTTTCCTTTAAATGATGATGGACAGATCACTTTAGGTAGAAGACTTATGACTATCTTCAGCTCTGGGAATTTTCCATTTTCTCCATGACATGACTTTATTCTTCTCAGGTCTTACTGGCCGCCTCTGTGACTGTAGATGAATATTGATTAGAATTCTCCACTGTAAGCTTATGTCTTAGTTTGCCTTTTGTATTTCCAATTTCTCCTTTTTGCTTTTGGAGATGAACTCTTTAATGGAGCTGAGAATGATTTCCGGTCCTCTTTCCTCCAACTCCCTAGTTCCGGGATTACAGGCACGTGCCACTATGCACAGTTTAGGTGGTGTTGGGGATTGAACCCAGGGCTTCATGGATACTAGGCAAGCATTCTATTGACTGAGCGACATCTCAGTCCCTACCTCTCCTTTTGAGACAGTCTCACTCTGCAGCCCAAGTTGGCCTGGAACTCGCTGTGTGATCCAGGCTGGCCTCAAACTCTCAGCGATCTTCTTGCCTCAGCCTCTGACACGCTGGGACTGTACATGTGGACCACCACTCCCAAGCTCTTCTTGTATTTAGTTCACTAAGTCTTGGGGGCCTCGTCTAACTTCATCGAAAACCTGGCCATTGAGCTCTTACTTTTGACCCTTTAATTTTTAATCTTGCTGTCTTTAAAATCTGCAGTAGGGTTTCCTTCTCTTTCTTTTATTCGTTTGTTGATCTTTCTAAAGTTCCGAAGCTTATCTTTGAACACCATAAATACAGCCGTTTTCTAGTCTATGTCTTTCATCTCTTCATATCAGGAGTCTCTGCGGGTCTACTGCTGTTGTCTGTTTACTCTGTGGGTTCTTGTCATGATGCTTTATCTTTCCCATGTTCAAAGCCTGTCTCTCCTCCCCTCCCCTCTCCTCCCCTCTCCTCCCCTCTCCTCCCCTCCCCCCTCCTCTCCCCTCCTCTCCTCCCCTCCCCTCCCCCCTCCTCCCCCCTCCCCCCTCCTCTCCTCCCCTCCCCTCCCCCCTCCTCTCCCCTCCTCCCCTCCCCTCCCCTCTTCTCCCCTGTTAGATCACGTTTGTATCTATAGCAATGTGGGAACACTGGAATCGAGGCAGGCAGAGCAAGCCTTCCAGGCACACCTTGGTGGAAACTGGGTTGTCCCCAGACTGGAGAAGCTGGGCTGTCTCTGGGTAAAGGCCGTTTTACCTTGAGGGTCCTGACTCAGGGCAGGGTGCGGAGTGTTGTCTCAGAGAACTGAGCGAATAGTATTCTTTGGTGTTCTAATTTTCTCTCTCGTCTTTGAGACAGTCAGTAGCAAACAGTTGGCCAGTTGCTTCTCTGGATTCTTGTCTTCTGGGTAGGCCCTTCAAGTCTCACTCTTACCCCTGTCCCCTTACCACCTCCACAGTTTTTCTCTGAAAGACCCTGTTCCAGAAGGAGATCTCCTTTGCAACGCGAGGCTCTCAAACATCTCTGACGAATAGCGTCATTTAGGAAGCTTTTAAGCAGCCAAGCCTGGGATGAGCGCTCTTCCCACCTACCCTTGGTGGAAACTTGGTGGAATCCTGTTAGGATTCTGGCACTCCAGCTATATGGCCGCACATGGGCAGTTCAGTAGCTAAGTAAGGGGTCTGTCTTCTTATGTCATTTGTGCGCTTGATTACATAATGCGCTTGGCGTGGTCACACAATCTGCACATGCGTGGCTTAGCTCCGTAGGTCCACCTGCGCATGTGCAGGGGAATCCTTAAAAGCCTGACACAGACTCCTCCCCTCTCTCTTCTGCTCTCTCCTCCTGCCCCCCCCCCTCCTCTGCACGTGTCTCTTCCCAGGCCTGGCTGATCTCTCCCTTCCCCTCCCCGCCTAATACTGGGTTTTGTCGTTCCTCTGACCTTTCCTCACACGGTAACCACCGCCGCTTATTTTTAAAACCAATACCTCACACCCCCCGACAGAAGAGGGCTTTTAAGGGTCTGTGACATGAATGGTTTTGAGATGACTTACAAACCACCAAGGTCCCCCAGTGCTCTCTCCTAAGGAAAGGCCAGCCCTGCTCATACTGAGGGAGAAAGGCAGACTTTTGTCCTATACATTTGTGAGAGCCCAAGTTACATTTCAAGTTTTAATGACTATGCCTAAGAGACCCAAGAAACAAAAGTGCCTCTGATCTGCAAGCCCCTTGCCCAAGGACACACAGTCCCTGAAATGCTGGAGGCTATTGTTTATGGGAGATAACAAGTCATATGTTCTCACTCCCCTAAACAAGTTTGTTTGACCTATGTGCACCAGATGTGCTTGATCACATGTGGGCGGGAGGTTAGGAGGGAGGAAATATGTCAGGATGTATGCTTGCTCCTGATTGGACTTCATGGGAAATGTGGTGAATTATGGGTAGTGCCTTCTTAAGCCCCTGCAAAAATGTGACTTGGGGCCATTTTCTGGGAAACCAGAGATGCCCCTGGCCAGAGAGTCCATCAACCTGGCCAGTATTTAATTAAGGTTGCTTCAGATTTGACTTTAAATAGTGGTAGTGGACTTATTCTCGACCAGTGGGTAGAACACAGGCCCTGCCCAGAGTACAATGCCCCAGTGTGGTGCGCCAATGCCTCTCAGAGCACTAAATGAACCAACCAGAAATAGTGCTGTAGCTGATACAGAACATGCACTAAAGAAGGGGTTCCACCCTTCTACAAAAGATAGGAAACCTACAGAGCTATTTCAACAAACTTGAACTGATACTTGCTAAGCATTCAGAATTACCTTGTGTTTTAGCTCAGAAGGGCTCCAAAGAACAGAGAGCTATTGCCTCACAAAACTACTTCTGTTCTTGCAGTCACATATGTGAATACATTTATTTTATTTTTTATGTAAACAAAGAAGAAATAAGTGATACTGTCCTGTTGATAAATACTAATCAGTACAATTAATCTCTAGTATTGCATTTAATTACATCATCACACATTTGTTCATTTTATTATTTAAATAACTTAGTCAATTAAATCATTACACAGTTATGTAATTAATTACTACTTACCATAAACACCAGGTTCTAAGATTTTCCTTAAGCAGTTTCTGCTAGAACTTTACTTTCCATGTCTGATGTTTTCCAAACTTTGTAGGATGTTTCTAGATAAATTTTGCAATAGTAGTATTTCAATCAAGAAGAAACTACCTTTGACACTTAGATTTCCATTTGTAAGAACATTTAAAAACTAAAATGGTGATTTAGATGCTTTTTTGGTGGCATCCTAGAGGGTTACCAGCAAAAGACACAAGACAAACATATATTTCTATCAATATTCTCCGGGAGAATAGTGTAGAAATCTGAGTTGAAGAAGAAAAGAGGCTGATGTAAAGTTAATCGTTTATTCAAAATCTTTCTATCTTAACTGTGGTTGGCTGCCCAAGCCCTTGATAGAAAGCACCCTTAGAAAGCACTGGCTACTCTGAAGAGAAGATTGTAATAATTTTAATAAGTGTCAACATTGCAACATGCCAGGACTTACCCTTAACAACTGAACAAGTCATGAAATTCAGGGGCCAAATGACAATGTCTGAGGGGTGGTCTAGTGTAGTGATCTTAGGTGTACATACTGAAAACTGCAACACCAACTTGCAGAGTCTGAAACCCACCCAGCAGGCCAGGTAGGGTGGTATGTGCCAGGAATCCCTAGCACTTGTGATGTAGAAGCAGGAGGATCAGAGTTCAAGATCACCCTCTGATATATAGCAAGCTTGAGGCTAGCCTTAGCTATATAAGAAAGACACCATTCATCCATCCATCCATCCATCCATCCATCCACCCATCCACCCATCCACCCATCCACCTGCCTGCCCGCCTGCCCACCCTCCCACCCACCCATCCGTCCATCCATCTGTCCATCTATCTGTCCATCCACCCACTCGTCCATCCATCCATCCATCCATCCATCCATCCATCCATCCATCCATCCATCCATCCATCTATCTATCTATCTATCTATCTATCTATCTATCTATCTATCTATCTATCTATCTATCTAAAGACGACCAGCAGAGCAGGATTGGCTCCAGGAACCTGTCATTTATGCCTTCTCCGGAGTCTTAATGACCAGCTTGATTGGGAAATTGTCACTGATGTCAGTGGGTGTGGCACTGCCACTTCTCCGCTTTTACTTAGTTTCCTCGCAATCTGTCACATCTATTTTTAGCCACTTGAGACTTGGGTTTGTCAAAGCCCCTGCTCTATTATAGGTTACTCATAATTAAACCTCTTCATACAGTCATCACTCATCAAACTCATTTGAATTTCTCCCCAGGGTGTCTGGCTTCTGGAAACTGCTCAGCTGGTCTTTGAAGACAGTCTCCAAAGGGTAATTTCAAGGGCTTTAAACAAGCTTCTCCACATTGCAAGAAGGAAATCTACACATGGAGCCCCTTCCTGGGGTGCCCACTTCTGGGTCTGGGTGCCCTCTCTTCCAGTTGGCTCCTTGTTCCCTGTTTTTTTCAGGCTTTGCCTTCTGAGATTCCCAGGTGGAGAAACAATCCTTGTGAGCTGCAGATCTGGGACGGCTTTGAGGCGGAGAAGTGTCAGAGCAGAGGGAGGGTGGGAGATGGAGGCTCAGGGTCTGGCCAGCAGAAGAGCAGAGGCAGCTGAAGCAGTGACATCGGAGTGATACAGGACCATAGAGGTGACTGTCACCTTAATTGTAAATGTTTGCCATGCTGTGATGTAACAGGGCCCCCTGCTATGTCTGAATGTGATGCCTCGCCCCCTCCCAGGTTCATGGGTCAGAAACAAATGTCAGTTAGGTCACCAGGCATCCCCTCCAGCATAGATTAATTAATGACATCATTATGGGATGGACTTCTGATAAGGTCCCACCCTCTCTACTCCACCGGTGCCCTCTCCTCCTCAGCCTCACCTAACTCTTCTTCTCTTGCCCTGTGGTGATTTCCACCCCGGGGTAGCACAGCACCAAAGCTCTTGCCCGACGTCAGTGCGCGTGCTCCTGAACTTCTCAGCCCCAGAACTGTAAACCAAATGTACACTTTTGTTCTTTAGAAATTGCCCAGCCCATGGCCTTCTGTCACACCAGCAGAAGGAGGAGGACACGTACTGCCTTCAACCCCCAGTGGATTCTGCAGCCCGTATCTCTGCTGTCTTCAAGGGAGAGAGTTAAGGGACAAGAATGTGGAAGGGCGTGCTTTAGGTGACCAGGGTCTAGAGGTACAGGAAGTGAGACCTGGAGCATGGGAGCGCACCATCACAACCTGGCTTTTTTTATTTGTTTAATAGGATGATTCTAGAAGGCTGGAGGATGTTAGGGCCGGAGGCAGAGCTGACTTCTGACACATGGCAGCCCTACCTCAGCTACTTTCATCCTGTTTTAGGGTGAGGAAATTCATGCTTCAGAGGTGCTAGGTGATCCATCCGAGGTCACACAACTGGGAAGTGCGAGTACCCAGATTTGAACACGAGTACCTCTGGCTCCCAGGCAAGAACTTTCCTCACCCTTCTATGCTTTGCTAATCCTGAAAATTGAGAGAAAAAGACCAGTTCCACAATTTTTGAGCCAAATTTGAAGTGAGATTTAATTGAATGCTGGCCAGGACGATGGACTCTGGCCAGGTCCATTCCAGGGTTCCCAGAAAATGGCAAAGAGTCACATTTTGCAGAGGCTTAAGAAGGCAACCCCATAAGGCCACCATTTTTCTCATTAGGTCCATTTGGGGTAAGCATACATCCCGACGTACTTCCTGCCTAGGTCCCAGATGTGATTAAGCACATCTGGTGCAGTTGGGGCAAACAAACTTGTTTAGGGGAGTGACAACATGAACAATAGCCTCCAGCATTTCAGGAAGTATCTGTCCTTGGGCAAGGGACTTACATGTTATAGGCATTTTTGTTTGTTTTTGGTTTGTTTGTTTGTTTGTTTCATGGACCTCTTAGGCACAGTAATTAAAACTTAAAACATAATAATTTGGACTCTCATAGCTTCCTTCCTTGTAGCATGTATAGGGATCTGTAGCATCTTCAAATCTAACAGCAATTATCAGGAGGAAGGCCTGAGCAGCAGGCAAGACCGCCACCCAAAACCACACCATTGGAAGGCACACAAAGATCTCCTGAACTTGATCTGGGGAGGGAAATTGTGGCATACGGCAGGGAAGGCCATGGAGGCCCAGAGAGGACACTTTATGAAGCTGTGAAGGTGAAGTCTGGATTTTGTGGGAGAACCTGAGATGTTGGAGATGCCAGAGCCATGGGATACCTGCCAAGGAGAGCTGTATCTAGGAGTGGAATCAGTCCAAGAGAAAGAATTGTGTTGAAGTCAACAAAGCTAGAAGGACTGGGAGACATGAAGAGCCATCTACGCCTGTAGAGGGAAGTTTCTCAGTCCACCTAGCCCTGCGGTCTGGACGAATCTTTCCCACCCAAGCTCTCACAGCCACTTATAAAATAATCACTCAGAGGCTTTTATTAATTGCAAGCTGTATGGCCTAATGGCTAAGGCTTCTTACTTGCTAGCTCTTACAACATAACTCAGCCCATTTCTATTCATCTATATGTTGCCACGTAGCTGTATTGTTACCGGTCTATTGGCATCTTGTTGCTCCTTTGGCGGCAGCTGGTGTCTCTCTTGACTCTGTCCTTCTCTCTGTGTCTCTGCCTGGACTTTCCCACCTGGCTGGAAGTTTCTTGCCATTGGCCAACAGGAGCCACACATATTCACAGCATACAGAAAGTCATCCCACAGCAGACGCCCTTTGAAATTGGACATAATACTACTTGATTTGGTGTTTGCCCTGCTGGGTTTTGGTCTTGCTTTGGTTCATTTGGTCTTTGCCCTGCTGGGTTTTGGTCTTGCTTTGGTTCGGTATTTTGTCACTATACCTCATTTCTTCCCCTTTAGAGTAGCAATGTGTGTTCAGTGCCGTTGTATGTTGGAAGTATGCAATTTGCGTTTTGAATTTGATTTTACAGAAGGTTACAATTAAGAGATTGCTTTGAGTCTTAGGAGAGAATTGAACTTTTAAACAGTATTGAGACTGGGAAAAACTATGGGGACTTTTGGATCTGGGCTGAATGCACTTTGCATTATGATATGGTTGCACGTCTATAAGGGCCAGGGAGTGGAATGGGGTGGGTGGAATAAAAATGGCTTCCACAGGCTCATGTTTGAATGCTTGGTCTCTAGTTGATGAAACTGTTTTGGGAAGGATTAGGAAGTGTGGCCTTGTTAGAGGAGGCTTTGAAGTTTCAAAAGCCCATGCCCAGGCCCAATCTTTCTCTCTCTGTCCCTCTTTCTCTCTGCTTTCTGCCTGTGGATCAGATATGAGCTCTCAGCTAATACTCCTGCACCATATCTGTCAGTCTGCTACCATATTTCCCATCATGATGGTCATGAACTCATCCTCTGAAACTGTAAGCAAGTCTCTCATTAAATGATTTCTTCTATAAGTTTCTTGGCCATGATGTTTTCTTCATAGCAATAGGAAAGTAATTAAGAAAATTTCAGAGATACATGGGTTTCAGGCTTCTCTTTCTAAATGTATTTATATCTTCCAGGACTAGCTCAGGTAGATGTGGGGCTTGGAACCATATCCAAAAAATACCTAAATAGTGTGATCTTTACTGCATATCCCAGGACACTGAAATTTGGTTATCAGGAGCTATATATAACTTTAAAAATATTCCAAGACAAGTATCTTGTTCTACATGTTCTAATGTCCAAGGTGAACTAATGTTCTGATGTTAAAAATTCTTTATGTCCTTTCTCACTTTCTGTTCCTCAGCTCTCCTTCCCATGGTCCCCTTCACACATACTGAGGCCAGATAGTGAGTGCTTCCCACTGGAATGTTGACTGACCTTGTTGGCTTGACCTGGTCTAGGTTTTGTACAGATGACCACAGACACAGTGATTTGATTTGTGCAACAACCTTGACATGCCCAGAAGACATTTCACAGAACCCTTCCTCATGCTCCAGCCTTTACATTCTTTCTTCTTCCTTTTCCCTGGAGTTCCCTGAGACTCATGTGGTGTGTGTGTGTGTGTGTGTGTGTGTGTGTGTGTGTGTGTGTGTGTGTGTGGTGTGTAGTTGATAGCTGTCTGTCCCATTTAGGGCTGAGCACGCAACAGGCATACTTTTTCTCAGCACTTTGACCGGTTATGAACCTCTGTATTAACCCTTACTCACTGCAGAAAGAAGCTTTTCTGGCCAGGGTGGAGTCACCATAATCTGTGGCTATAAATATAAATATTTAGAAGGCAGTTTGGCAACATGTCCATTTATCAGAACAACAGTAGTAGGTTCCTTCCCAGGGCCTATGACCTCCAGAGCCATGGGCTTCTGGCCAGGTTTATAGTACTGGCATGAATTCCCTTCTGTACAGCAAGCCTCAGATTGGTCACACAGTGGCTGGTTACCTCTATAACCTTCAAGCCACCATTGTACCAGTGGGCACTTAGGTATTACAGCGTTCAGTATCTCCCACTGGGTGAGACCACCGATGCCTCTTTTATTCCTTCAGCAGGCTGGGTAGCACCTTCCAGCACTATGAAAACAAGCTATCATAGAGGAACTTTACAGGTTAATTTCAGCTTGATGTCTCGGTCCTGTAAGCGGAGGGCCTCGCATATACCAAGGACCTTACATATAACATTAATTCTTCCTGAAATCTGAGCTGGAAGGGAACTTTTCAGATGCCTCCGGTGCTTTAAGATAGCCCTGGGAGGATGTAGCAAGGCTAGGTAGTGCTGCAGCCCCGACCCCTGTTCAACCTGAACAGCTCTATCTGTCCTCTCTGTTGAGCTCAGAGCTCTTCTCACAAAAAGAAGGGGAAGGTACATGCTGTCAAGTGGAGTTTAAAAGCCACCCGCCTACTCAAAATCAGCTTTAAAGAGTGACTTATCTTTTCTAGCATCCTCATCTTATAAAGAAGGAAGGTGACAGGAGCAAAGGTCCGAAGACTTGATCAAGCTGTAGCCGACAGCTGAGTTCCCCGTCACCCTCCCTCCCTGTTCCCGCCACAGCGTTGGCAGACGCGGCAACTGATGTGCGGCCTGCACAGGTTATGAAAGAGGGGATTTTCTGAGGCATTCCTTCTTTGTAAGACAGGAATTCTCTGGGCTAGCAAACCATCTAGGAGTCTCATGGAAGGAATGCCATGGGGCTCTACACCCCAGCCATAGAGAAAAAAAAAATAGTACAATATAATTGAAAACCACGGAGGCCTGTGACTTCAGGGTTGGCTTGATCAGTGGTCTCAGTCTGTCACCTCTACTGCCGCCCATGGGCCACCGTAACAGTCTAGATCCCACAGGATTGTTACTGTGGGAAAGAGAATCCTGAAAGCGTCCTGACCGTTGCTTTGATTGGGGCCTCTCCGAGCCAGGGGCTGCAGCAAGCTGATTTGTTTCCAAGCACAGCTGCCGTGGGTCCTTGCTGCCTGCCCGGTGCCCTCTTTATCCTGTTTGTGCTCACTCAGTTTTAGAAGGTTCTTTAGTTGTGTCAGACGAGCTAGTCTTCGAGTTCCTTTTTTCTTCTACCTCCTTTTCTGCCCAAGTAGTGCCCTGTCTAGGGTCCCATGCTACGCCTCTTCAGCGGCGCTATCTGTGACATTGTCTAACCCTAAAGGCTGGGTGGGATTGGTCAAGAGTTGCAGGACTCACTCTCAGATAGGTCTGTTCCTTTTTTTTTTTTTTTTTTTTTTCTGTTTGTTTGTTCTTTGTTGTTTTGTTTTTTGGTTTTTGAGACAAGGCTTATCTGTGCAGCTCTGGCTGTCCTGGAACTCACTATGTAGACCAGGCTGGCCTGGAACTCAGAGAGATCTCCCTGCTTCTGATTCCTCATCAACCCTAACCCAAGTGCTGGGATTAAAGTCATGCATCACCACTGCCTGGCTTGTTCCTCTTTTCTAACAAGGTTTTGTTTATCTTGTCTTATAGCCAAAGCTCATCTGGAATTCACTACGTAACCCACGCTGGCCTTGAACTCACGATTCTCTTGTCTCAGTCTCCCAAGCATGAGCAATACAACTGTGACTCCTCCTTTCTCATGGTAAGATGGAGTTCTATATCTCCATGGGATCACTGAAGCGTCCTCAGTGGGGATGACAGTGATATGTGGGGCAAGCACCCTAGTGAGCTGGTGTTGCCTAGAGAGACGCATGCCCCACAATGGCCTTCTTCAAGCGCTGGGCATGCTGCCCCTCTACTGCCCCATCCAGGAAATGGGGAACTGGGCCCAGCACTCTAGACTTTCTTTTCTTTTTCTTTCTTTCTTTCTTTTTTTTTTTTGTTGTTTTTTGAGACAGGGTTTCTCTGTGTAGCTTTGTGCCTTTCCTGGAACTCACTCTGTAGCCTAGGCTGGCCTCGAACTCACAGAGATCTGCCAGCCTCTGCCTCCTGAGTGCTGAGATTAAAGGCGTGCCACCACCACCACCCAGCTTGACCCTGCACTTTCTATCTTGTCTGAATAAGCAGGAAATCCTTTAAGCCAAAATGACCTGCATCTTTGTATCTAAGGATAATGAAAAAAGATAAGGCAGTGTGGGCGGAAGGAGCTGGAAGGCCTGCATTCAGGAGGGAGGCAGTCCCAGGGCCTGAGAGGGGCCCTCCAGAAGATGAAGCAGTGGAGAGTCTTGCCTCTTGACAGCTTTCGTGCAGGGAAGGATGAGGCTCCTGGAGAACCTTGAGGAAAATCTATTCACCACACTGTCCAGTAAGAATTTCATTTGCAGAAGTCAAGCAAATCAATCAAAAGAAATGAAATCATTCAACCAAGCAGTTTTACAGCAGCGGATGTGTTTACTGTGCTGTTATTTAATGTGACAGTGAAAAAGAAAGCGAGCTGATTGTCTAGGGCGGAGAAACAAGGTCCGACAAATAAGAGAACAGCGCAAGGGAATCTACAGATCCGTCCATGGTCAGAAGGGAGACTCCGCTATTGTGGGGTCAACACAGCAATCCCTAGTGGCTGACTCCGGGCTATCGCAGTTTACATTGGAAGTGTGCTCGGAGGAAATCAAGTAAAGGGAAGTACAGAGGAGGTAGTGGGTGGAGGGGACAGCAGGAGGAATCTGGGGTCCTCTGGTGGGCCTTGGGGACAAAGGAGAAGCAGAAAGGACTTGAGAGGAGTTTGAATTTTAGACCATCTGGGGCCATAGGGAAAAGGGCACCTGCTTCTACTAAGTGCGAGCGCTGACCTTGAACCATGCTGAGAAAAACCCCAGTGAAGTCTAGGGGGCACTCTCTACTCCCTGACCGGATCTCCAGTTACAAGGGGCTCACTGCATACCTCCACTGGCTCCTAAGTAACACACACCATGGAGTAGAGTAACCGTTCCGTTCCGTTTGTCCAGCTGTTTCTCATGAAGCCACGCTTCTTAAGAATCCCTTCTGGTGCGTTTCCTCTCTGAATTGATTTTACAGCTACAACATTTTATCTAAACCATTTCCCGTTTCTTTCTAGCTTGGAGATGGGTAGCAGTTCTCGCCATTTCCTTCCTATGCACTGTTCTACTAAACACCGGGAGCTTCTGCCAGAGAGTCTGTGTCTTCAGCCACCTTTGTGATGACTACACATTCATATGCTCTAACATGCATTGTATAGACCATGCTGTACATTCTGTTTGTACTTCTATTGAACACTTAAACTGCTGAATCTGTGCCTGAAAAAACCCTATAATAGCACAGAAGTATGCATGAGTTGGTGTGAATGTGGGTGTGGTCTACACAGTCACCGAATAACGAGCCATTTACCGTATGCCACACCCCGTGGGAGATGAAAGCCCAAACACACAGTCCTATTTGCCAAGCGTATCACAATTAAATGGACAGAAGTTTTGATCACTTCCAGGTAAGTCGCAAATTAGCAAAACAATGGACTTTAAAAATATATTTTAGAGCCAGCAGCATTGAAGTCAAACCTTTTTGTCTTTATAGAAATTTCTATGATTGCTGTTAAGTTAAGCCTTCCTTCCGCAGCTGTGTCGTGCATCCTGGGTACAACTCTAGGTGGAATAATTTATTAGTAGAGTTAAATTTACCAGAACATTTGTGAGGGTTTAGTGTTCTGCTATGTGACAGACTAGCGCAGACCAGGCAACTGAGAAGTGAAATTTAGTTCTCACAGTTGTTGTTAGATTATTAAAAGGCAGCTGTGGAGAGATCGAAGGCAGAGAGAAAAGATCTGATCTGATCTGCTTAGGTGGGACCATATTTATTCACAGCGAGAGGGTATCTTTGTCACTCACATGCATGGGTGGCCAAATTGCCTACAGAGGAAATAAATGGGTTGCGGCCCCTTATAGGGGCAGAAAAGACTTTCATAGTCTGCAAGGGAAGCTGGGACGTGTAGTCTTTCAGCAGGAAACTATCAGTTGTAGAGGTGAGAAGTCCAAGGCTGAAGGCTGCATGCATCCGGAGAGGGCCTATTGTCCCAACAGAAACACATACCAGAAGCTAAGATGTATGGGGCTCTTTATCTTCTTATAAAGCCATGAGTCCTAACACAAGGGTCCCACCCCTATGATTTAATCTAAGCCCAATTGCATTCCAAGAGCCTCACCCCACAAATATCACCATCATATGAATTTCAGGATTTTCTACAGCATGAGCATTGGAGAACACTATTCAAACCACGGTATATGGTTCCCCGAGTGAGGAACTAGAGTTAAGAAGCAAGGTAAGACATAGTTCAATTTCTCAGGGCACTGGATATCTTGTAGGAAGGGTAAGCTGCAAACACATGACTCCCAGTAGGCATGATGGTGCAGAATAGGCCCCGTAGACTTCATAGACAATAGCCGTCTGCCACATACCGTGTATGTGATGCCCTGTTTCTGATGCTGTACCCATGATCTTGGCAGTGGGACCAGGATTTGCCTCACTAATGTTCTCCTGGTCTCCTGCTCAGGGTGTGGAGTAGTGGGTCCAGTGTGCTAGGGTTCCAGGTCCCCAACAAGGCTGAAGGGCTGAGCACAGCAGGACTTCCTGTGTGGGCTGCTGCACACGCCATCCTGCGTGTTTTCTTATAGTCTTTATTGGGAACCAGGAAGGGTAGCTTGGTTTACCTCCTCTGATACAGCTGTTGAGACCCATCCTGGCTCACTATGCAGCTGGGAGGGGGCCAAGAAATCCATTAAGAGCTTCCAGGTGTCTTTAGGATAAAATTCAACCTTCCTTCAAGGCTGGCCCTGATCTCCCTCTTCGCCTTCCCCCAGCTACCCCTACCATGGCTCTCTTGGGCAGCAGCCAAGCTTGATCCTTGTGGTTTCTTCAGATGCACCACCTGCAGGCTCGCCTCCAACCTCTGTGCATTGTCTGCCTGAAGTACTTTTCCCCCAAGCTGTGTCTGCCAGATCCGCAACAGCCTCCTGTTCTCAGCTTCCAGGTCATTTCCTTAGGCAAGTCCCTGTTGTCCTGGGAGATAAGCAGGTTCCTTGATGACCCAGGACCTATCTCAGTCCCCATCAAATGTCGGAGAGACTCCTCTCTTCCCTCCTTTCTTCTGTAACCTGCAGAGGGAGGACACAGAGCACATCTGTTTGGCTGGCTGTTGTCTTCCCAGGACCTGGCGGATGATTTGGCAGGTGCAGGGCCAGCTTTTTGGGCAGGTGAGCTGTGTAGTCAGCAGGGAACTCATGTGAAGAAGGAAGGCTTAATGCCTGCTTTAGTGTTGCTGTCTAGAAACGCTGTGTTTCAAACAAGGAACCCCATATGTTTTCAGTTTCTACCAGGCCTCAGATATTATGCAGCTGATATGGGGACTAGAAAATGAATTGGTATACATAATTATGTATGTTCTATTTATACATATATTCTTGTAGTATATTGAATCAAAAAGTGGACAAGAGAGATCACTCATTGAGTAAAGGCGCCGACAATTTGTTAATACTTTTTTTTTTTTTTGAGAGGAGGGGAGTCTTATTCAGTAGTTCAGGCTGTCTTGGAAGTCACTGTAGCACAGACGGACCTTGACTCTGTGGTGATCCTCCTGCTTCAGCTTCCCCTGTGCTGGGGTTACAAGTGTGAGTCACCACACCAACCGGGGACGACCTGAGTTGGAGTCCACATGGTGGAAGAAGAGAACTGACTCCCAAAAGAACTGTCCTCTGATTGTTCCACAAGTGCCACGGTACCCACATCCCTAGGTACACACACACACACACACACACACACACACAGACACACACACACAGACACACACACACAGACACACACACACACACACACAGACACACACACACACAGACACACACACACACACACACACACACAGACACACACACACACACACACACACACACAGACACACACACACACACACACACACACAGACACACACACACACAGACACACACAGACACACACACACACACAGACACACACACACACACACACAGACACACACACACACACAGACACACACACACAGACACACAGACACACACACACAGACACACAGACACACACACACAGACACACACACACACACACACACAGACACACAGACACACACACACACACACACAGACACACAGACACACACACACACACACACACACACACACACACACACACAGACACACACACAGACACACACACACACACACACACAGACACACAGACACACACACACACACACACAGACACACACACACACAGACACACAGACACACACACACACACACACACACAGACACACAGACAC